GACAGTTTGACTTCCTCTTTACCGATTTGGATGCCCTTTGTTTCTTTCCCTTGTCTGATTGCTCTGGCTAGGACTTCCAGTACTATGTTGAATAGAAGTGGTGAAAGTGGGCATCCTTGTCTTGTTCCAGTTCTCAGGGGGAATGCTCTCAACTTTCCCCTGTTCCGTATAATATTGGCTGTGGGTTTGTCATAGATGGCTTTTATTACATTAAGGTATGTCCCTTCTATGCCAGCTTTGCTGAGGGTTTTAATCATAAAGGGATGTTGGATTTTGTCGAATGCTTTTTCTGCATTTATTGAAGCGATCATGTGATTTTTGTTTTTGATTCTGTTTATGTGGTATATCACATTCATTGACTTACATATGTTAAACCATCCCTGCATCCCTGGTATGGAACCCACTTGATCATGGTGGATTATCTTTTTGATATGCTGTTGGATTTGGTTCACTAGTATTTTGTTGAGGATTTGTGCATCAGGGATATTGGTCTGTAGCTTTCTTGTTTTATGTCCTTCCCTGGTTTTGGTATTAGGGTGATACTGGCTTCACAGAATGATTTACGCAGGATTCCCTCTTTTTCTATCTTTTGGAATAGTGTCAATAGGATTGGTACCAATTCTTCTTTGAGTGTCTGATAGAGTTCAGCTGTGAATCCATCTGGTCCTGGACTGTGTTTTGTTGGCAATTTTTTTATTACCATTTCAATCTCGCTGCTTGTTATTGGTCTATTCAGAGATTCTGTATCTTCCTGGTTTAATCTAGGAGAGTTGAATATTTTTAGGAATTTATCCATCTCCTCTAGGTTTTCTAGTTTATGCATGTAAAAGTGTTCATAGTAGCTTTAAATGTGTTGCATTTCTGTGGTATCAGTAGTAGTATCTCTTGTTTCATTTCTAATTTAGCTTATTTGGATCTACTCCCTTCTTTTCTTGGTTAATCTTGCTAATGGTCTACCAATTTTGTTTATCTTTTCAAAGAACCAGCTTTTGGTTTCATTCACTCATTCATTCGTTCATTTTTGAGACGGAGTCTCGCTCTGTTGCCCAGCCTGGTGTGCAGTGGTGTGATCTCAGCTCACTGCAGCCTCCACCTCCTGGGTTCAAGAGATTCTCCTGCCTCAGCCTCCCGAGTAGCTGGGATTACAGGCGTGCACCACCATACCCTGCTAATTTTTGTTTTTTCAGTAGAGATGGGGGTTTCACCATGTTACCCAGACTGGTCTCGAACTCCTGACCCCAAGTGATCCACCCACCTTGGCCTCCCAAAGTGCTGGGATTACAGGCGTGAGCCACCGTGCCTGGCTTGTTTCATTTATCTTTTGTATTGTTTTGTATGTGTGTGTTTCAGTTTCATTTAGTTCTGCTCTTCTGCTGGGTTTGTTATTTCTCTTCTGCTGGGTTTTGGCTTGAATTGTTCTTGTTTCTCCAGTTCTGTGAGGTGTGACCTTAGATTGTCTGTGCTCTTTCAGACTTTTTGATGCAGGCATTTAATGCTGTGAACTTCCCTCTTAGCACCGCTTTTTCCATATCCCAGAGGTTTTGATAGATTCTGTCACTATTATTCAGTTCAAATAATTTTTAAATTTCCATCTTGATTTCATTGTTGATCCAACCATCATTCAGGAGCAGATTATTTAATTTCCATGTATTCGCATGGTTTTGAGGGTTCCTTTTGGAGTTGATTTCCAATTTTATTCTAATGTGGTCTGATAGAGTACTTGATATAATTTTGGTTTTCTTAAATTTACTGAGACTTGTTTTGTGGCCTATCCTATGGCCATTTTACATTTCTATCAGCAGTGTATTAGGGTTCTAATTTCTTCACATCCTTGCCAACACTTGTTACTACCTGTCTTTTTTATTATAGCCATCCTTGTGGGTGTGCAGTGGTGTCTCATTGTAGTTTTGATTTGCATTTCCCTAATAATGTTGAGCATCTTTCCATGTACTTATTGGACATTTATATATCTTTGGAGGAATGTCTCTGCAGATCCTTTGCCCATTTTACAATATTATTTATCCTTTTATTATTGAGTTGTAAGAGGAGTTCTTTATATATTTTATATATAGATCATGTATCATATATAATTTGCAAACATTTTCTCCCTTTCTGGGGGTTGACTTTCACTTTCTTGATGGTATTCTTCAAAGCACAAAAGTTTTACTTTTGATAATATTCAGTGTATCTAGTTTTTCTTTCATAGCTTGGGCTTTTGATGTCATATCTAAAAAGTCATTGCCTAGGCTGGGTGCAGTGGCTCACGCCTGTAATCCCAGCACTTTGGGAGGTCGAGGCAGGCGGATCACGAGGTCAGGAGATCGAGACCATCCTGGCTAACCTGGTGAAACCCCATCTCTACGAAAAATACAAAAAATTAGCCAGGCGTGGTGGCGGGCGCCTGTAGTGCCAGCTACTCGGGAGGCTGAGGCAGGCAAATGGCATGAACCCGGGAGGCAGGGCTTGCAGTGAACCGAGGTAGCGCCACTGCACTCCAGCCTGGGTGACAGAGCGAGAATCCATCTCAAAAAAAAAAAAAAGTCATTGCCTAATCCAAGATTATAAATCCTTCCCCCTATGTTTTCTTCTAAGAATGTTATAATTTCAGCTCCTATGTTTAAGTTATTGATTCATTCTGAATTGATTTGTCCATATGTTGTTTAATGATGTCTTTTGAAAAGCAGAGGTTTGGCCAGGCTCAGTGGCTCACACCTGTAATGCTAGCACTTTGGGAGGCCGAGGCAGGTGGATCACCTGAGGTCAGGAGTTCGAGGCCAGCCTGGCCAAGATGGTGAAACCCCGTCTCTACTAAAAATACAAGAATAGCCAGGCATGGTGGCATGCACGCACCTGTAATCCCAGCTACTCTGGAGGCTGAGGCAGGAGAATCGGTTGACCCCAGGGGACGGAGGTTGCAGTGAGCCAAAATCGTGCCACTTCACTCCAGCCTGGGTGAAAAAGTGAAACTCCATCTCAAAAAAAAGAAAAAGAAAAAGTTTAAAATTTCAATGAAAGCCAGTTTATCTGTTTTGTTTTGTTTTTACATATCATGGTTTGGGTGTTTTCTTAGAGAAGTTTTATAATTTTAGCCCTTATAGTTACTATGATCCATTTTAGTTTTAGCTCTTATAGTTACTATGATCCATTTTGATTTAGTTCATGTTTATTTATATCATGGAAAGATCTCAGAAAGCATGCTAAGTGATTAAAGCAAATTGCAAAGTGATATGAGCAGTACAATACCATTCATGCAAAATTTAAAAGCATGAAATACCATTTATTATTCATAGCTATATATGCACATATAGGTTAAAAGTTTCACACCAAAATCTTTGATAATGGTTGCCTCTGAAGGGAGGAGAGGAAAGAACTGGAACAGGAAAGAACTGGTGGTCAAAGCAGTCTTCAGATTTATCTGCAATATTTTTAGGTTGAAATACATTTGACACGATATGAAGTTACCAATTTGGGGTGGTTAATTATGTTGTACTTTTTAGTTTTCTGTATTTTTTTAACTTCTTGAAATACACACACACACACACACACACACACACACAAATGATTCAAAGTAAGAACCACAGAAAACAATCCATTTCTGTTGAGTTTGGTGGCCACACGGTTGAAGCACTGCAGTAGGGTATGGTGTGTCCAGCCTGTCCACCTGTTCAGGGCCAATTCTGTTTGTATGTGGGGTTTCTGAGCTAGCTCCCCAGAAGGATAACTATCTTCATTTGAACTCACTCTCACACTTTGGCTTATATTTTTTCCAGTTTTGCTTCCACAGAAAACCCTAGTCCACCTGTCACACTCAGTTCATGTTGTGCTGAAGAGCTCCAGAGCCCACATCTCAGTGAGCAGCCCTTGATTCGTTTTCTCCTTTTATTTATTTTATCCCATTGCTCCAAACTTTCTCCACAACTGTACCAGGGCCTCCCAAGGAAAGCTCAGTTTCTGTTTACTACGTGTCCTTTTCACCTCGTCCCTGCGGGATGGCCCCAGACAGCCTCGCTGTGTGTGTGCAGTGCGTGTGGCGTGACTGGCCCGATGGCCCCGCTTGCAGCCTGCAGCCAAGCTCCCCACATGCTCAGAGCATGCCCTGGGGGAGTGGGGGCGCAGCCTGCAGAGTGCACACTGCCACTCTTGGAGTCGAGGGATTCTTCCCGTGCCTCCCACTGGCAAGCTGTGTTGCCTGACACAATGCTTTCTTTTCCTTCTATAAAATGGATATAAAAAGGTGGCTCACACCTGTAATCCTAGCACTTTGGGAGGCCAAGGCAAGCAGATTGCCTGAACTCAGGAGTTAAAGACCAACCTGGGCAACATGTTGAAACTCAGTGTCTACTAAAAATACAAAAAATTAGCCCAGCATGGTGGTGCACGCTTGTAGTCCCAGCTACTCGGGAGGCTGAAGCAGGAGAATCTCTTGAACCTGGGAGGCGGAGGTTACAGTGAGCTGAGATTGCACCACTGCACTCCACCTGGGCAACAAAGCAAGACTCTGTCTCCAAAAAAGAAGCATATACATATATAAATATATATACACACACACACACACACACACGTATGTCCTTTCCACTCACAGGTTGCCGGGGGTGGGTGGGGTGGTCCAAATGAGAACGTGTGCATGAATGTGTTTGCAAACAAAATGAAAGCTGTTTGCATGTTACTTCCTGCCCCGCTAGCCAAGCCCTTCTAGAGCCCTGGCCCAGCTATATGCTCACCCTGTCTTCCTGAGAGTCCTCCACCACTCTGTGCCAGCCTCTTCTTTCCCTCCCATTCTTGGTCTCTTCTTATGATGTTCTTTCTTCCTGCCCTGCACGACCCCTTCCTTTTTTCCTTTTCTTCCTCTCTCCAGTCTTGGAAGCAGCCTGACTCCTTCCTTTCAAGTATGATCTTGTACCACTGAACTGAGGCCCGGTTGACGGAGAAAAAGTACTTTCTTTCTTCCTCAAAGAGGTCAGGTACTTGAGATAACATATTTTCTCTCTTTGAATCTCCAGGCTCAGGCCACAGGGTCACCACATACATCGCCCACCCATGGAGGCGGCCGGCCGATGCCCATGCCAGTGCGCTCCACGTCTGCCGGCTCCACCCCCACCCACTGTCCGCAGGACTCACTGAGCGGAGTTGGGGGAGACGTGCAGGAGGCCTTTGCACAAGGTGAGTTTCTGGAGCAGAGTTCAGCAGGGAGCTGAAGGGATCTGCAAACATGGACAAGATTCCTGCTGAGGTTTTTCCATTTCTCTTTTGTGCTCTTGGCTTGAATGATCAGATTTTGACAGACAGTGTAAATAAGTCAGGTGCTGGCCCCTTCTCATGAGACTGGCTGGTCTCCAGCAGGAGAGCTGCAGGCTTCCGATGTGTGCCAAGAACGGGCCTCCTGGGGTTCTCTGCCCTTTTTTCTGGATTATGGGAAGTGCTTTGTCCTTTGAGCTTCGTCTCCTCCAGAGGAATTGGATGGAATAATTCCCTGGCCTAGAAGGGACTGTAACAGGCACTGTAACTGGGACCGTGCTGACAGCATAGTGTGCACGCCATTGCCACAGTCATCGGAGGAGCTGGTGACCAGCAGTATTAAGTAGTTGGGTGGGGATTCAGAGGGAAGTCCTGCTGGGGCTGGAGGTGAGAAGGGGAGGTGGTGGTGGTGGTTGTGGAGAGTAGAGCCCCGCCCCACAAGGCTGAGGGAAGACCTCGGTGGAATGCTTATTCTGGAACCAGCTTGGATTGGTGTGGTGATGGCAAAGCGTGGAATTGATGGATGCTGCTCCCTAGGTAGAGAGGGCAGAGGGAGAGGGACCAGTGGGCTGGTGCCTCCTGCCCCCGGTGTGGCTGGGAGTAGGGTGGAGCTGCTGCAGCCCATCTCCCTTAGGTATTTCCACACCTGTGTCCTCCAGCCTGGCAAGAATGGAGGCGTTTGCTCAGCCGTCTCTTCTCCCATGCTCACCCCCCTGGCATCCCATCTGCTCTGCCTCTCCTCAAGGTACGAGGAGAACCTCCGCAATGACCTGCTGGTGGCAGCTGACTCCATCACCAACACCATGTCATCCCTGGTGAAGGAGCTCCATTCAGGTGAAACCCAGAGCTCCCACTGGCTTCCCCGGCGCTCCCCTGCCTCGCCCACGGCCCTTCTCACTTCCCTCGCCAGCTCTGGCAGAACCTCACCACCCAGCTCGCACCACCCCATTTCACCACCCAACTTTGCCTTCTAGGAACACATTGGATGTCTCCGCCCAGAGAGCCTCTGTCACACAGGATTGCATAGGGGCGGTTTCACATTCAGGCTATCTCAGGAGTGCATCTTGTGGAGCAAGCGAACTTGGAGAAATTCAGACCTTTCAGTGCAGGCAGGCCCCCTCCTACTTACCCCGTCTTCTATCTGTGCTTTGTCCACAGCCGCTCTCTCCCTAGGCCTGACCGACCGCCTCATTCTGAAGCTTCCCTGGAAGTCTGGAGCCGAATCAGCCAGGAAAGCTCTGGACCTTCTCCGCTGCCTTTCTGCTCTCTCCTGTTTGATTTGGTTTTGAAGCCTATTCCTCCTTTTGTCCATGACCAGGCTCTGATTTCACCTGAAGTTCATGACCTGAGTCTGTCGCCTCTTCCACTCCTCGTGCTCAGCTCATCTGTGACTTCTTTCTCAGTCTCTCCATCACCTCGCCACATCAGTGACTTCCCAAAGACCTTTACCTTACATAAAACCCAGGAAAGAGAGAGAAAATTAAAGGCCATCACATATCATCCTATCTCCAGGAATCCCCATGACTCTGCCAGTTACGTAGGGCCAGAGAGTCACTAACGATTTCACAGCAGTGGGGTTTCCGTGTTTTCTGTTAAACTAATGGTTTCCCTTCCTAAGTGCTGTAGGTCACTCACACTGATGGTTCTCTTTTGTTTCTTTCCACCTAATGTAGTGCTTTTAAATACCTTGAAGTAGCTTAACAGGGCTATTAAATAAAAAGATAAAGCAGTTTTTCCACGGGCCATCAAACACATAGATTTGTTCAAACACTCTTAGGGAAGGCAAGCTTGGGTATTTTTCAGCCCTTCGTAGGAGAAAGCTCACATGTTTCGGGTTGTCATGGGACTGGACAGAAGCCCCCAGCTCTGCTCTCAAGTCTGCCTATTTTCATACAGACCAAAGTGAGTGTGTGGCCCAGGCTACTCTTTCCAGCCAGTGAAGGTCAGACGCTGCTTCTCTGGTTTGATGGCGCCACCCTCTCCATTCTAGCACTGTTTCTCAACCCCCGTCAGAAGCATGGCCCCCCTCTGTACCCATTAACAGAAGAGGTGACAGCCTTTGGGATGACCACACAGGTGATTAGAAGGCACTTTCCCTAATACAGCTCCCCACAGATGCCAGAAATCCCACTTTTAGAGGAAATTTCTTAGGGAATTTCGGGCCATGGAAATTAACTACACTTGTACTTCATGGCCACTTATTAGAGTTTATGCAAAATAAGTGGCTTCTGCGTTCATCGTGCTGGGGTGAGAGGTCATTAAATACCATTAAGCATAAAGCACATAGAGACCAGATAGCTTCACAAAAATTTAAAGGTTATAGGAATACTCAGCAGTGTCTCATAGTAGGAAAGAATGGTTTCAACAAAATTATGTAGTGTAATTTGGAAGGTGCCTTAGAGAGTACATTGTCCAGTCCCTTACTTTAGAAATGTTGCATATGCTTATCAGAAAAGTTGTCTGCCTAAGGTCGTGCAGCTTGAAGGGGGAAAGCTGGTCCTAGAACTTGGGTCTTCAGAGCATTAAGCCAGAGATCTTACTCCCCTCCAGGACAAGACATCAAACCCAGAGTCCCAGAGGCCCCTTTCCCTGATGTTCGTTCAGTCACTGAAGCCTGCAGGTAGATGTGGACCAAAGCCACACATGGCATGGTATCCTCTAACATGCAGACATAAACTCCCTTTACATGTGAGGGTACCAATTCTCAATGAATAGAACAGCTTCGCCCAACACCAACACGTTTTTACTATCTCCTTGACAGTGACTTGACAGGTTTTGTTCCAATGAGAGGACATACTTGAGGATTATCTTTACATATAGTCTATACAGTATATACATACTGTTATGTACATAGCTTGTACTCCTCATCTTTATAAAGTTTTTTCACAGATAATGGAATCCTAGAATTGGAAAGGATCGAGGCCAGCACAGTGGCTCACACCTGTAATCTTAGCACTTTGGGTAGGCTGAGGCAGATGGGATCACCTGAGGTCAGGAGTTCAAGACCAGCCTGACCAACAGGGTGAAACCCCATCTCTACTGAAATACAAAATTAACCGGATGTGGTGGTGCATGCCTGTAATCCCAGCTACTCGGGAGGCTGAGGCAGGAAAATCACTTGAACCTGGGATGCAGAGGTTGCATGAGCCGAGATTGCGCCGCTGCACTCCAGCCTGGGCAACAAGAGCAAAACTCCATCTCAAAAAAAAAGAAAAAGAAGAAAATTGGAAAGGATGTTAGAAGTCATTTAATCTAACTTGCCACCCAATAAAACAGTCCTCTGAATATTTCCAGTGAGCTCATTCATGATCACTCTAATCACTGGAAAGTTCTTCCTCAGTGGGGAGCCAAATCTGCCTTTCTGTAATTGACTTATCCCTGTCCTCCAAAGCCACCCAGGACAAGCTCAGTCCCTCCTCTGCAGGCTCACCTGTCACGGGTTGGATGGCAGATGATAACCCTTCCTAGTGTTCTCCTCTGTAGACTGCTACACCCAATTCCTTCAGCCTTTCCAAGCGTGACATGGTTTTCTCTTACCAGCCTGCTTGACCACACCAGGATGTGGCCATTTTCCAAGGCTCCTATTCAAAGTGCACGCCCAGGGCTGGGCCCCCTGCTGTCCATCACAGGGGATCTTGTCCCTGCAGAGCACAAGGCATCTGTGACCCTCTTGAGTGGCCCCTGGAAAAGCACCTTAGACAGCATTAGCGCTTCCCACATAGCCACTTTGCGCTGTGCGGTCATTTTAAGTTTATCATCAGCTAAAACATCCGGATTTTTTTTTTTTTTTTTAAAGAACCCGTATTAATCTAGGTATTCCCCCACCATATATTGTATGGTCACTTTCTTAAACCTGATGCAAGACATTAGATGTCTCCCTGGTCATCACCAGCTGAGGGCAGACAGGCACAGAACGGAGGCACGCAACCCCACACCGCACGCCCCCCACCCCGGTCAGGAAAGTGAGTGATGTGACTGCACTGCTCCTTGTGGCTCTGGCTCACGGGCTCCTATTCAACAGTGCTGGGGCGTGGGCCACACAAGTGCAGACTGGTGAGCTGAAGCACCCTCGGAGGCCTGCAGCCAGGAGCTGTTAGCTAGAGTTTCCTCCCAAGCCTCAGCAGTTGCTTTGTTCACCCTCCTTCTGAACTTGTCCTGTGCTGAAGGGTCACTGGCCTCCCTGGACTTGTTTTCACAGCAGAGGAAGGTGCAGAGGAAGAAGAAGAGAAGATGCACAATGGGAAAGACAGAGGTAAAGGCAGCTCAACAGGACTCCTAGTTTAAATGGGGAGCCAGAGCTCATGGATGAACTGCCCCCCACTTTGTTCTGCCTTCCTCCCTGCCACCACCTTTCCCAGAGCTTTCGGACCCGAGTTCCCTGTACCTACTTTCCCATCTGACAGTCAGGTTTTACCTTCCAGGAGCCAATGTCAGTCAATCACCAAGAGCTTCATTTCCTGATCCTGGGATAGGTGGTTGGGATACAGGAAGTAGATACAAGTAGAACACAAAAGATGACCCTTTGACTGGAGAAGTTTATGATCTAGTTAAGAAAGCAAGACCAGGCCGGAGCGCGGTGGCTCATGCCTGTAATCCAGCACTTGGGGAGACTGAGCCGGGTAGATCATGAGGTTAGGAGTTCAAGACCAGCAGCCTGGCCAACATAGTGAAACCTCATCTCTACTAAAAATACAAAAAATTAGCCAGGTGTGGTGGCAGGTGCCTGTAGTCTCAGCTACTTGGGGAGGATGAGGCAGGAGAATTGCTTGAATCCAGGAGATGGAGATTGCAGTGAGCCAAGATCGCGCCACTGCACTCCAGCCTGGGCAACAAGAGTAAAACTCCATCTCCAAAAAAAAAAAAAAAAAGCAAGACCAAAAATGCAAAATAAACAGGAGATCAAATGAAGTGACAGAAAAGCTAATCATAAAACTTTCAACATATAAGTATAATAAGGGTTTCTGAAAAGGAAGATATTATTGTGGCCAGAATAGCCAAATGGTTTTGTGGCTTCGTGGAAGAATAAAAGCAAGAAGGGAAGGTGTCAGCAAAGGACAGTAGTGCCTTCCTAGTTTCATTATATATCAAACCTGCTTAACACATGACATCTGGGAAGAGCTGCACGGAATGATTTTCACATATGATGATCTCATCTAATCCTTAACAACACTGTGAGACAAATTCGAATATCCCTGTTTTACCCATGAGGAAATAGGCTCAGAGAGCTGTTATTCATGTAGCTGTTGAATGGCAGGATTAGGCCGGGTATGGTGGCTCACTCCTATAATCCCAGCACTTGGGAGGCCGAGGTGGGTAGATCACTTGAGGCCAGGAATTCGAGACCAGCCTGGCCAACGTGGTGAAACCCTGTCTCTACTAAAAATAAAAAAATTAGCCAGGTGTGGTGGTGCATGCCTGTAATCGAAGCTACTCGGGAGGCTGAGACAGGAGAATCCCTTGAACTCAGGAGGCAGAGGTTGCAGTGAGCCAAGATCATGGAACAGCACTCCAGCCTGGGCGACAAAGAGAGACTTTGTCTCAAAAAAAAAAAAAAAAAAAAAAAAAGCAGAGAACTGGGTCTTTGACTCCAAACTTCATGCTCTTAATCTTCATCCTTCTATGTTATACTGAACAGAAAACAAAATTTTCTTTGGATATTTGAGGGTGAGCTGTCCTTCTGTCGCACATTAATGTGTTAGTTGCTGGATTCCTCCTAAACATCAGCTCCCCAAGGCAGAGATTTAGTCTGTTTTGTTCATGTTGTGTTCCAGTGCCTGGTGCTTAGTAGGAGGTCAATAAATGAGCAAATCAAAGGAAATAAATGGGGTGATGAGATAGAGAGTACCTTATCAGGGGAGAGAAATGCAGTGGCTGGTCACCCCAAGGAGGTGAAGGTAGGGAGAGCAGGAAGGATGCGGAGGAGCCAGCAGCAGCCCTCCCAGGGAGGAATTCTGAACAAGGCTCGGGGGAGTGAAAGAACCTGCAGGTGATAAATGGCACAGCCTGAGTTTAACTCTAATACCCATGCTTTAGTCTGAGCAGAACTGGTAGACTAAGGGAAGTGGAGTGGTCTTATTTAAGGAAGGATATAAGTCAAGTGGGAGCTACAGGTAAGGAAGCTGTGACAAGAAAGGGAAACCTATGGGACAGCAGGTCTGGGGTGTTCTTGGCCCATAGGGGCTGGTGTGGCTAAGAGAGAGAGGTCTTTGGAGTCTCAGGGGGCAAGGAATTTGTCAGCAAGGAACTGAAATTGCTGAGGAAGAAACTGGGAGAAGAGGAAGAACATTCTACAGATTCTGAAATCATCTAGTGAGTCTGAGCTAGTCCTGGGAGGAAGTGGACAGCAGCACCACTGAGTTGATGAGAATGACCTATGTGGCATGGACGCCAAAAGTCAGACTAGGCTGGCCATGGTGGCTCACGCTTGTAATCCCAGCACTTTGGGAGGCTGAGGCAGGGGGAACACTTGATCCCAGGAGTTCGAGACCAGCGTAGGCAACATAGCAAGACCCCATCTCTACAAAAAATAAAAGTAATTAGCCAGATGTGGTAGTGCACACCTGTAGTCCCAGCTGCTTGGGAGCCAGAGGCAGGATTGCTTCAGCCCAGGAGTATAAGGCTGCACTGAGCCATAGTCATGCCACTGCATTCCAGCCTGGGTGACAGAGCAAAGCCCTATCTCTAAAAAATAAAAATAAAAGGTCACATTAGAGAGAGTAGTGTTTCAGACATCT